AACTAATGTTAAGCTATCTTGTAATCAGACACAGTAAGTTAATGCCAGCTAGTTGCAATTAACTAACTAGCAGTTACTGTCTATTATGTTGCTGTGCATTTTACAATAACTTACTGACAGCTGTCAGTTAGGTAAAGTAAAATTCACTGTGGCTTCTGTTGCTGAGTTACAAACCATCTCAACGATCTCATTGCAAACAGACCATGCAAGCCATACAGATCATATCTGATATCACCACTACCCTCCATATTATTGGCCAACATGCAATCATTGGGAAATCAACTGGACTATCCTACCAATGGGACATTAAAACTGTAATATCTTATGTTTCACAGAGATGTGGTTGACCGATGACAATATATAATATAGAGCTGGCTGGGTTTTCCGTGCATCGGCAGGACAGAGCAGCTACGTCTGGTAAGACGAGGGGCGGGGGTGTGTGTCTATTTGTCAATAACTGCTGGTGCGCGATGCCTAATATTAAAGAAGTCTTGAGGTGTTGCTCGCCTGAGGTAGAATACCTCATGATAAGCTGTAGACCACACTATCTACCAAAAAAGTTATCATCTATATTATTCGTAGCCGTCTATTTACCACCACAAACTGATGCTGTTAACTAAGACCGCACTCAACGAGCTGCAGAAGGCCATAAGCAAACAAGAAAATGCTCATCCAGAAGCGGCGCTCCTAGTGGCCGGGGACTTTAATGCAGGCAAACTTAAATTCGTTTTACCTCATTTCTACCAGCATGTCACATGTGCAACCAGAGGGGAAAAAAAGTCTAGACCACCTTGACTCCACACACAGAGACACATACAAAGCTCTCCCTCACCCTCCATTTGGCAAATCTGACCATAATTCTATCCTCCTGATTCCTGCTTACGCGGATGCTACGCTACAAGACTGTTTTGCTAGCACAGACTGGAATATGTTCCAGGATAAATCCAATGGCATTGAGGAGTATACCACCTCAGTCACTGGCATCATCAATAAGTGCATCGAGGATGTCGTCCCCACAGTGACCGTATGTATATATCCCAAGCAGAAGCCATGGATTACAGGCAAAATCCGCACCGAGCTAAAGGCTAGAGCTGCCGCTTTCAAGGAGCGGGACACTAATCCGGACACTTATAAGAAATCCCGCTATGCCCTCAGACGAACCATCAAACAGGCAAAGCGTCAATACAGGACTAAGATTGAATCCTACTACACCGGCTTGCAAACTATTGCGGACTACAAAGGGAAACCCAGCCACGAGCTGCCCAGTGACGCGAGCCTACCAGACGAGCTAAATGCCTTTTATGCTCGCTTCGAGGCAAGCAACACTGAAGCATTCATGAGAGCACAAGCTGTTCCGGACGACTGTGTGATCAAGCTCTCCATAGCCGATGTGAGCAAGACCTTTAAACAGGTCAACATTCACAAAGCCGCGGGCCAGACGGATTACCAGGACGTGTACTCAAAGCAGGCGCGGACCAACTGGCAAGTGTCTTCACTGACATTTTCAACCTCTCCCTGACCGAGTCTGTAATACCTACATGTTTCAAACAGACCACCATAGTCCCTGTGCCCAAGAAAGAGAAGGTAACCTGCCTAAATGATTACCACCCCGTAGCACTCACATCGGTAGCCATGAAGTGCTTTGAAAGGCTGGTCATGGCTCACATCAACACCATCATGCAGGAAACCCTAGACCCAGTCCAAATCACATACCGCCCCAACAGATCCACAGATGACGCAATCTCAATCGCACTCCACACTGCCCTTTCCCACCTGGACAAAAATAACACCTATGTGAGAATGCTGTTCATTGACTACAGCTCAGTGTTCAACACCATAGTACCCACAAAGCTCATCACTAAGCTAAGGACCCTGGGACTAAACACCTCCCTCTGCAACTGGATCCTGGACTTCCTGACGGGCTGCCCCCAGGTGGTAAGGGTAGGCAACAACACATCTGCCACGCCGATCCTCAACACTGGGGCCCCTCAGGGGTGCGTGCTTAGTCCCCTCCTGTACTCTCTGTTCACCCACGACTGTTTGGCCAAGGACGACTCCAACACCATCATTAAGTTTGCTGACGACACAACAGTGGTAGGCCTGATCACCGACACCGATGAGACAGCGGCCTATAGGGAGGAGGTCAGAGACCTGGCAGTGTGGTGCCAGGACAACAACCTCTCCCTCAAGGTGAGCAAGACAAAGGAGCTGATCGTGGACTATAGGAAAAGGAGGGCCGAACAGGCCCCCAATAACATCAATGGGGCTGTAGTGGAGCGGGTCGAGAGTTTCAAGTTCATTGGTGTCCACATCACCAACAAACTATCATGGTCCAAACACACCAAGACAGTTGTGAAGAGGGCACGACAACACCTTTTTCCCCTCAGGAGACTGAAAAGATTTGGCATGGGTCCCCAGATCCTCAAAAAGTTCTACAGCTGCACCATCGAGAGCATCCTGACCGGTTGCATCACCGCCTGGTATGGCAACTGCATGGCATCTGACCGTAATGCGCTACAGAGGGTACTGCGTGGGTACAAGCTTCCTGCCATCCAGGACCTATACACTAGGCGGTGTCAGAGGAAGGCCCAAAAATGTGTCAAAGACTCCAGTCATAGACTGTTCTCTATGCTACTGCACGGCAAGTGGTACCGGAGCGCCACCCAAACTAACGTTTTTACACTGCTGCTACACACTGTTTATTGTCTATGCATAGTCACTTTACCCCTAACTACATGTACAAATTACCTTGACTAACCTGTACCCCCACACATTGACTCGGTACCAGTACCCCCTGTATATAGCCTCGTTATTGTTATGTAATTTTCTTGTGTTACTTTTTGATTATATATTTTTTACTTTAGTTTATTTAGTAAATATTTTCTTATCTCTATTTCTTGAACTGCATTGTTGGTTAAGGGCTTGTAAGTAAGCATTTCACGGTAAGATCTACATACTAGGTAGGTACTAACAAGAGCACAGGGAGCCTAACACACGTCACAAACAGGTTCTTAGTTTGGGCTGAGGGGCAACATATTGAATCCCAATTCACAATTGTTTTTTCTCCTCCACAATAGTCAATGGAAACTGAATGACTGAGGCTTTCTTTTGAGCCTGGTCAAAAAGGAAAACCAAGGTTACACAATGATTCAACAAACAAAACAAACAAATAACTAGGTTCTGTTGCTGGGTTGAGGGAAGCACGAACTAAACAGTCATTTAACTTCTCAAGATTAAATCAAACTATTGAATACATCAACTAGGTATCTTGGGACACTTCCACACCACATACCCCTCTCTGAGTGGTATTGAATAAAGACAATGGCTCTCTGAAACCACATGCCATTATTATTAGTACAGCATTTCTGTTAGTTAAAAGCTAAAAAGTGTCAACCTTAAAAAATGTGTTGCATTATTCAAGTGTGCAACATTATGATTAATATGGTTTAGTTGAAAAGTTCCTGTATACTTTCAATATCTTGCCTACTTTTATATACTACTAGATAGCAGGGGTACTCAACTCTTACACTACGAGGTCCGGAGCCTGCTGGTTTTCTGTTCTACCTTATAATTAATTGCACACACCTGGTGTCACAGGTCTAAATTAGTCCCTGATTAGAGGGGAACAAAGAAAAAATGCAGTGGGACTATCTTCGAGGTCTAGAGTTGAGTTTGAGGGTACTATGGTATTCACGGTATGTTAATAGCTGCACATAGACATGCAGCATGAATGTGGCTTTGGCAACACCACATCCAAGGTAATGTAAGGATAGTGTCGTGACGTGACTTTCATTATTGTGATGACTATTATTTATCAAATCATTACCTACTATGTTTAATTGTTACTAGATTCAATTAATCATGCAACAATTAACTCATTAGGAATTTAGGGCACCACGGGAAAAGTTGTTTAACTAGTTACTGTTTCCCGAATTAACTCTAAAGATATCTAGACATCTCTTATCATTTAACAGTCATTTATTAATAATTTACCTCATATCAGTCTCATTCTGAAAGTCGTAGACTCTTTAAATCTGCACGAACCTGGATCTTACTGATCATTCCGTACCACACAAATGGATTTAATTATTGATTTACTAACTAATTAAAATGATAACACAAGATACAAACACATACATGTATAGGTTAGGGATTAGAACTTAATACAATGAAAATGGGTTCCTAGCGGATTAACACAATATGACACTTGTTACAACAGATGGCAAGTTAAAGAGAGAGAGAGGAAGCGAGAGAGGAAGAGAAGCACTTGTATACATTTGGGAACTACTCTCACAGTATTCCTAATACCTTGCCCCGAACTGCCAGCCCTTTTGGGTAAGAATTAATGCATGTATTTACGTGTTGAAGGTCTTCGTCGTGTATCTCTGTTGGACCCAGGCCTTCGTGGAAAGGGGTCTTGGGCCTTCTCTTTTGGATGGGCCTTAGATGTAAGGCTCTGATTGTCCGCAAGAGGTCACAATGTCCTTCTTCTTAGTTGTCTGTTTACTTTCACTCGTTCTGGAAGTGGTCTTCTGAGGACGGCTAATCAGCCGTGTCGATGATCCCCTGTGGGGTGATGAGAGCAGTATAGTAGACGATGGTTTGAAGAGAGTAACAGGATGGTCCCACTTAAATGTTGAAATATATTGTCCCAATGTTCATTGTTGGATGTTGAAGTTTTTGGGAGGCAAAAAGTATCTGAAACAAAGGCATTCCTTTCACCATACTAGAGGGCCAGAGATATATTCTCCTCCTCTCTAATTTATGGCAGTGTTAAGGCGTCAAGATCGTGGGTAAGAGGGTCTGGTTGTTGTCGGCCAATAGCCAAGCCGATGTGAAGCCTTTAATCCTCACTCAGGGAGAGTCATGACAATAATGTAAAGCCTAATTTACACCCTACATAATACAATAAGATACGCAAATGTGTGCTACCCCGTATTTTGTAACTCCACGAAAATACGTAGCATTGCCATCTTGCGAATGTAATTGCGTCCTTGCATTGTGTACTTGCGTAAGTGTATGAATTATGTTTAAAATAAAAGTAACAAATCAAAATGTCGATAGAAAGGCAGTGCCAGCAACACATTTTGTTAGTGTAAAAATACCCAAAATATTTTCATGACAGACTTGAACTGATTCTCTCCTGCCTCCCCAAAGGTATGTCTACTTCAACTTCTTCTCTGAAAGGCTCAACAGGTAAGATCAAGTTCTGTTAATCTATTACAGCCTAATGACGCTATAATGTGACATGGAACATGAAAGTCACAATATTGTCTGATTCATATTAACAGGGTTTGGTTTGAGGCTTGAATTTAAGGGGAACGTTATTTTATGGTTTCATTGTTTCCAACAGAGATATCCCAATTGATGAGGACCAGAAGAGTACCAGGTTAGTTGAGATAAACTGAGAAATTCCCCCAACAAGTCATGGTACTTGGTACTTTAAAGGTAGGATGGTACTTTTAAAGTTAGGATGTTAGGATTTTGGTAGTTTTGTTCTGTCACAATATAATCCATAAAATTGCGGTAAACAGCTCCACACTCAGGCAGAAAACAACTTAATTATATCTCTATTTGAGCAAAATAAGTTGTTTTGTTTTGATCACAAGAAAATCCTAACAGTTCAGTTAAAGAGCGCCATAGACAGGCAGAAAAATCGGAATGTTCTATCATGAAGTGAGAACAATTAGTTTCCTTGGCTGATATGGCTGCCAGGGCGTTCAGAGTTTCATAACATTCATAACGAGGCTCAGTCCTGAAGACCAAGAGCTGAGGGGTTTGTGGGCCCAAGGAAAAAAAGGGCCTTTTCTAAAATCATTTCCTGCAATTCTACGTCATTTTACATAACCGGAGACATTAAAATCATATTTTTTCATATCACACAAATGATCAAAATAACAAGCTACTCTGACAATTACATACTGAGATCAATAAAACGAACGACACATGTCTTAAATGCAACAAATAGCATAGGCCAATGAAAAGAGTGGGTACACAGATCTTAGGCCTACAATATGAAGAGGAAATTATAGTCCACCAACTTTCCAGTGGCACTCACCTATTCACACAGATTTTTCTCGCAATTGTATTTTGAAATATTGCCCAAATACCTTCTAGCTGCTGCCTGCTGTTCATTGACAGCCACAACTCAACAATCAGCTGTTTTATATTTGCCGCATGGGCTGCATTGACTGCTACTTAGAAATACTATAACAGTAAATTAATAAATGACATTCACTGATATAAATCTGTCTCCAAAATAATTGCATAGTTTTCACAGACCCACATCTCTGTGTGAAAAGTTGTCCTATGGTCTGTTTTGTCAACAAACTCAGACAAAATTCAAAGAAGTTAAAGATGAAATTGACTGCAATACACTGGAATCACCGACAACGATGAGACAGCCTATAGGGAGGAGGTCAGAGATCTGGCCCCCTCAGGAGACTAAAAAGATTTGGCATGGGTCCTCAGATCCTCAAAAAATTATACAGCTGCACCATCGAGAGCATCCTGACTGGTTGCATCACCGCCTGGTATGGCAACTGCTTGGCCTCCGACCGCAAGGCACTACAGAGGGTAGTGCGTACGGCCCAGTACATCACTGGGGCAAAGCTTCCTGCCATCCAGGACCTCTATACCAGGCGGTGTCAGAGGAAGGCCCTCAAAATTGTCAAAGACTCCAGCCACCCTAGTCATAGACTGTTCTCTCTGCTACCGCACGGCAAGCGGTACCGGAGTGCCAAGTCTAGGTCCAAAAGACTTCTCAACAGCTTCTACCCCCAAGCCATAAGACTCCTGAACAGCTAATCATGGCTACCCAGACTATTTGCACTGCCCCCCCACCCCATCCTTTTTACGCTGCTGCTACTCTGTTAAGTATTTATGCATAGTCACTTTAACTCTACCCACATGTACATATTACCTCAACTACCTCAACTAGCCGGTACCCCCGCATATTGACTCTGCAACGGTACCCCCCTGTATATATAGCCATCCCTACTGTCACTTTATTTTACTTCTGCTCTTTTTTTTCTCAACACTTTTTTTGTTGTTGTTTTATTTGTACTTTTTTTGTTTAAAATAAATGCACTGTTGGTTAAGGGCTGTAAGTAAGCATTTCACTGTAATGTCTGCACCTGTTGTATTCGGCGCATGTGACCAATAAAATTTGATTTGATTTGATTTGATTTGATTTGATTTGAAAAGTATAGGCTTTTAAAAGTAAATACTTTAAAGTACTACTTAACTAGTTTTTTGGGGTATCTGTACTTTACTATTTATATTTTGGACAACTTTTACTTTTACTTCACTACATTCCTAAAGAAAATAATGTACTTTTTACTCCATAAATTTTCCCTGACACACAAAAGTGTTAGTTAAATTTTTTATGCTTAACAGGACAGGAAAATTGTCCAATTCATGCACTTATCAAGAGAACATCCATGGTTATCTCTACTGCCTCTGATCTGGAGGACTTACTAAACTCCTGCTCGTCGAACATCTCTTTTCAAAATAATGGGCATTAATATGGAGTTGGTCGCCCCTTTGCTGCTATAACAGCCTCCACTCTTCTGGGAAGGCTTTACCCTAGATGTTGGAACATTGCTGCGGGGACTTGCTTCCATTCAGCCACAAGAGCATTAGGGAGGTTGGGCACTGATGTTGGGCGATTAGGCCTGGCTCGCAGTTGGCATTCCAATTCATCCCAAAGGTGTTTGATGGGGTTGAGGTCAGGGCTCTGTGCAGGCCAGTCAAGTTCTTCCACACCGATCTCGACAAACCATATCTGTATGGACCTCGCTTTGTACACGGGGGCATTGTCATGCTGAAACAGGCCTTCCCCAAATTGTTGCTACAAAGTTGGAAGCACAGAATCGTCTAGAATGTCATCTACCAAACCCAGATTCGTCCGTCGGACTGCTAGATGGTGAAGCGTGATTCATCACTCCAGAGAACGCTTTTTCCAATACTCCAGTCCAATGGTGGCAAGTTTTACACCACTCCAGCCGATGCTGCTCGGCCATGGAAACCCATTTCATGAAGCTCCCGAGGAACAGGTCTTGTGCTGACGTTGATCCCAGAGGCAGTTTGGAACTCAATAGTGAGTGTTGCAACCGAGGACAGTCGATTTTTACGCGCTTCAGCACTCAGCGGTCCTGTTCTGTGAGCTTGTGTGGCCTACCATTTTGCAGCTGAGCCGTCGTTGCTCCTAGACTTTTCCACTTCACAATAACAGCACTTACAATTGACCGGGCAGCTCTAGCCGGGCAGACATTTTACGAACTGACTTGTTGGAAAGGTGGCATCCTATGATGGTGCCACGTTGCAATTCACTGAGCTCTTCAGTAAGGCCATTCTACTGCCAATGTTTGTCTTTGGAGATTGCATGGCTGTGTACTCGATTTTATACACCTGTCAGCAACGGGTGTGGCTGAAATAGCTGAATCCACTCATTTGAAGGGGTGTCCACATACTTTAGTGTACTGCAGCAGGTAACTTCGATTGTAAACTATATCAAATCACATCCACTGCGCGCACGCCTGTTCGCAAAACTATGTGGAGATATGGGATCAGAGCATGACAATGTTCTATTTCACATTGAGACTTGATGCTTATCGAGGGGGAGTGTTGGAAAGATGTTTCACATTGAGAAAGGAACTGTTGTCATTCACAATGGACTTGATTGACTTTGTTTAATAAAAAGAAAATGTGTCTCCTTGCCTATGTATCAGATATATTTGGGAAACTGAACAAACTGAAATCAAGCATGCAGGGGAAAAACAAAAAAACGTTCTACAGATGAGTGACCGAATCAACAGGAGACAGGAGATAAGGCTGTGAGACATAGGTTGAATCCTAGACACATGAAAAGTGGGATGTATACGGAGGGTACGGGGCAACAGAAGATTCCTTTCCCATCGTCTCAATCCGCTGTCTTCAACCAGGATCTCAGCGATCACTGCCTTATTGCCTGCGTCCGTAACGGGTCCGCGGTCAAACGACCACCCTTCATCACTGTCAAACGCTCCCAAAAACACTTCAGCGAGCAGGCCTTCCTAATTGACCTGGCCCAGGTATCCTGGATGGATATAGATCTCATTCCGTCAGTAGAGGATGCCTGGTTGTTCTTTAAAAGTAATTTCCTCTCAATCTTAAATAGACATGCCCCATTCAAAAAATACAGAACTAAGAACCGATATAGCCCCTGGTTCTCCTCAGACTTGACTGCCCTTGACCAGCACAAAAACATCCTGTGGCGTACTGCATTAGCATCAAATAGCCCCCGCGATATGCAACTTTTCAGGGAAGTTAGGAACCAATATACACAAGCAGTTAGGAAAGCAAAGGCTAACTTTTTCAAACAGAAATTTGCATCCTGTAGCACTAACTCCAAAAAGTTTTGGGACACTGTAAAGTCCATGGAAAATAAGAGCACTTCCTCCCAGCTGCCCACTGCACTGAGGCTAGGAAACACTATCACCACCGATAAATCTACAATAATCGAGAATTTCAACAAGCATTTTGCTACGGCTGGCCATGCTTTCCACCTGGCTACCTCTACCCCGGCCACCAGCTCTGCACCCTCCGCTGCAACTTGCCCATGCCCCCCCCGCTTCTACTTCACACAAATCCAGACAGCTGATGTTCTAAAAGAGCTGCAAAATCTGGACCCCTACAAATCATCTGGGCTAGACAATCTGGACCCTTTCTTTCTAAAACTAGCCGCTGAAATTGTCGCAACCCCTATTACTAGCCTGTTCAACCTCTCTTTCGTAACGTCTGATATCCCCAGAGATTGGAAAGCTGCCGCGGTCATCCCCCTTTTCAAAGGGGGTGACACTCTAGATCCAAACTGTTACAGACCCATATCCATCCTGCCCTGCCTTTCAAAAGTTTTTGAAAGCCAAGTCAACAAACAGATCACCGACCATTTCGAATCCCACCGTACCTTCTCCTCTATGTAATCCGGTTTCCGAGCTGGTCATGGGTGCACTTCAGCCACGCTCAAGGTCCTAAACGATATTATAACCGCGATCGATAATAGACAGTACTGTGCAGCCGTTTTCATTGACCTGGCCAAGGCTTTCGACTCTGTCAACCACCGCATTCTTATTGGCAGACTAAATAGCCTTGGTTTCTCAAATGACTGCCTCGCCTGGTTCACCAACTACTTCTCAGATAGAGTTCAATGTGTCAAATCGGAGGGCTTGTTGTCTGGACCTATGACAGTCTCTATGGGGGTGCCACAGGGTTCAATTCTTGGGCCGACTCTTTTCTCATTGTATATCAATGACGTCGCTCTTGCTGCTGGTGACTCTCAGATCCACCTCTACGCAGACGACACCATTTTGTATACATCTGGCCCTTCATTGGACACTGTGTTAACAAACCTCCAAACAAGCTTCAATTCCATACAACACTCCTTCAGTAGCCTCCAACTGCTCTTAAACACTAGTAAAACTAAATGCATGCTCTTCAACCGAACGCTGCTTGCATCCGCCCACCCGACTAGAATCACTACTCTCGAAGGGTCTGACCTAGAATATGTGGACAACTACAAATATCTAGGTGTCTGGTTAGACTGTAAACTCTCCTTCCAGACTCACATTAAGAATCTCCAATCCAAAGTTAAGTCTAGAATCGGTTTCCTATTTCGCAACAAAGCCTCCTTCACTCATGCTGCCAAACATGCCCTCGTAAAACTGACTATCCTACCGATCCTTGACTTCGGCGATGTCATTTACAAAATTGCCTCCAACACTCTACTCAGCAAATTGGATGTAGTCTATCACAGTGCCATCCGTTTTGTCTCCAAAGCCCCATATACTACCCACCACTGTGACCTGTACGCTCTTGTTGGCTGGTCCTCACTACATATTCGTCGCCAAACCCACTGGCTCCAGGCCATCTATAAATCACTGCTAGGCAAATCCCCGCCTTATCTTAGCTCATTGGTCACCATAGCAACACCCACCCGTTGTCTGCGCTCCAGCGGGTATATCTCACTGGTCATCCCCAAAGCCAACACCTCCTTTGGCCGCAATTCCTTCCAGTTCTCTGCTGCAAATGACTGGAACAAATTGCAAAAATCTCTGAAGCTGGAGACGCTTATCTCCCTCACTAACTTTAAGCATCAGTTGTCAGAGCACCTTACCGATCACTGCACCTGTACACAGCCCATCTGAAATTAGCCCGCCCAACTACCTCATTCCTATATTGTTATTTATTTTGCTCATTTGTACCCCAGTATCTCTATTTGCACATCATCTCTTGCACATCTATCAGTCCAGTGTTAATAATAATTGTAATTTTTTTTTTTTGCACTATAGCCTATTTTATTGCCTTACCTCCATAACTTGCTAAATTTGCACACACTGTATATTATATGTATTTCTGTTGTATTTTTTTGACTTTGTTTGTTTTGCCCACGGAAAGGAATTACGACATGGGTAACCGGGAACTACTTGTGGTGAAGATAGCATTGGAGGAGTGGAGGCACTGGTTAGAGGGGGCGATAGATAACCATGTCCGTGAGGCACAGCATTCCTGGGACGGATCTGGATGGATTAGGATGGGGGCGGTAGTGTATTGGTGCTTGAGGTCTAAGAACGCCTGGTCTGCTGCTGGAGACCACGTAAACGGGAACTTGTGAGAGGTGAGCGCTGACAGGGGGGGCTGTAGCCCCGGATGAACCGGCGGTAGAAATAGGCGAACCCCAGGAGGCGTTGCAGCTGCACTCTGGAGCTGGGTTGCGGCCAATCCACCACCGCTCTCACCTTTTCAGGATCCATTTGTATGTTGCCTGCAGCTATGACGTATCCAAGGAAGGAGATGGTGGAGCAATGAAATTCGCATTTTCCCGCTTTGACGAACAGCTGGTTCTCCGGGAGAAGCTGGAGGACTTGTCTGACATGGAGGACATGTTCTTGAGCCGAGTGGGAAAACATGAGGTTGTCATCAAAGTAGACGAATACGAACCGGTTCAAGATGTCCCGGAGAAAGTTGTTTTTACCAGGGCCTGGAACACAGCAGGAGCGTTGGTCAGTCCGAACGGCATCACCAGGTATTCGTAGTGCCCACTACCCATGTTAAAGGCGGTCTTCCACTCATCCCCTTCCAGTATCCGTACCAGATGGTAGGCGTTCCGGAGGTCCAACTTGGAGAAGATGGTAGCCTCCTGGAGAAGCTTGAAAGCCGAGGCGATGAGTGGAAGCGGATAACGGTTTTTAACCGTGATGTCATTCAGGCCCCGGTAGTCGATACACGGACGCAGGGTTTTGCCATTCTTCTCCACAAAGAAGAACCCTGCGCCGGCGGGGGAGGCAGAAGGACGGATACCCCCTGCAGCCAGGGAGTCATCAATATACGTCTCCATCGCCTTGGTCTCTGGACCTGACAGGGAATAATGCCGCCCCCGAGGAGGTGTAGTGCCCGGGAGAAGGTCGATGGCGCAGTCATAGGGCCGATGCGGAGGAAGCGAGGTGGCACGAGCCTTGCTGAAAACCTCCCGGAGGTCCTGGTACTCCGCAGGAATGGCAGAGCAGTCCGGGGCTTTTCCCAAGCCCGCAGGTAGACGTCCCGGGTCAGGCAATGCCGATTTCAGGCAATGTGCATGGCAAAACGGGTACCAACCCAGGATAGAACCAGTTGCCCAGTCGATCAGAGGATTGTGCCTCTGGAGCCAGGAAAACCCCAAAACCACGGGTGCATGCGAGGATTCAATGGGCAGGTACTGTATAGACGGTACTGTATAGACTCACTGGGATTACCTGACACTCTCAGGTTCATGTGAAACGTAGTGTGGGTGACTCCGCCAATAGAGCGTCCATCCAACGCTCTGATGTCCATGGGAATGGAGAGGGGTTGTGTGGGGATTCCCAGCTCCGACACCAGGGTAGCGTCCATAAAGCTCTCGTCGGCCCCAGAGTCAATGAGAGATTGGACCAGTCACCCCACAACAGGGTAGCATGGAGAGGGGTATGAGAAATGGAAGATGGGAAACTCCCCGTACGGCTCACCAGCGTACTAGTACCTACTTGATGAGCCTGGTTTTTTAATGGGCAGGTAGATTAGAAATGTCCCATAGCTCCACAAAACATACAGCTCTGGGTGTTTAGTCTGCGTAAGCGCTCAGCAGGAGACAATCTAGCCCTGCCCAGTTGCATGGGCTCCGGAGGAGACGACTCAACAGCCCTTGGTGACCTCCGAGAGAACTCGGGCGACATCGGACCCGCTTGGAAAAGCACTTTTGGACCTACTTCCCAGTCTGTTTGATAGTGATCCTGGCTCAGTTAACGTGCCGGTAAGTGAAATCGAACAGCTGTTCTAGCTGTCATATGACCGAATGTTGCAGACAACGCATTCACGGGTCACTATGAAGGAGTTTTGGTTCCTGACTCAAATGGAATACCCTGCCGTCTTCTTCTGAGCATTAAAACTCATGGTACCCTTCGCCAGCTCTTATCTGTGTGAAGCTGGATTCAGTGCTCTCGTCTGCATTAAAACCAAATATCGATCCAGGTTGGATGTGACAGCAGGAATGAGGTGCGTACTGTTGACCACGCCCCCTGACTTTGAGAAGCTCCGACGTGACATGCATCAAGCACACATTAGTCGTGGTGAGATAAGAGACATTATGTCAGACTAATTTGCAATTGAGTGTCATAGCTCCACATTAAAAGTATGTGATGGTGAGTTGAGAAGAAATAATGTTAGAATGTTTTTCAATTGACTGCCATAGTCCCAAATAAAAAAGTAAAAATTGGCAGTTAATTACATAATTGTTTTCACATGGGGTCGTGGGCCAAAAAGGTTTGGGAATCCCTGCACTAATAGCCACTATCCCACTACTATTTATAATACAGTCACTACTACACTAGCCTCAAATTGTCTATACTAGCCTCTAACAATTTAAACTTCTAAACTCCTTCCGCTAACATAAAAATACTTCTGGACAGCTGAAGCGAGTCACACAATTTTTCTTCATGAAAAAGTACAGTTTCTAGTTTTTGTTTTATTTTTTCTATGTTCTTCTATTCATACAGCCTGAGTAAGCCCATGTTCAGGAGCAGACAACGGAACATGGTCTCTCCTGAAAAGTGTGTATCTGTATTTTACTCTACCATCATTCACCATAGCAGTATGGTATCATGCTATCACATCAATCCTAACAAAAATCTTCTGAAAAAGCACTGACAATCAATCAAAATAGTGGTTATTTTATGTCATAGCATTGTACATCAGCGTCATCTTTTATTGCCTTGCATGAATTGTTGATGGGATACTGTATGTGTTTAGTTTATAGCATGGTGGTTGGGGCAGTAGTTCTATTCGTGTATATGTTCTGTAGTAGTACAACTATTACAGGTCTATCTAATACGACCAACATCAGCCCATCTCTTCATTATAATTAAGTAATTACCTACATTTTGTTCTCCCAGGCTATTGTACAAGCAGCCCAGTGTCTTGGTGGGGTAAGCAGCATTTTTATCTTATGTTAAAGACATATTAGCTGACAAACTATACTGTTAGTGTCTGACACATCAGTGTGGGGAAGTGTAGCCTAATATACCACACCTTGAAACAAAGGTCCTTTAATTGCCAGTACAATAGTGAAATATTGAGGTCATATCATGGCTCTGGTCAGTACAACACAGTCAGGCTGGACCTTGTTCTGTTTCTCTAGACGTACTGATGTGGTGGCAGTGACCCCATGGTTGGCGCCCATCGTCTGGGAAGGCACCTTTGACCCTGTGCTCGTCGACAATATATTCAAGCCCATGAACCTCACCATAGCAACCACAGTGTTTGCCGTTGGAAAGTGAGTACAACTTTTGAAAAATATTCAAAAGGGAAATTGAACTATCAATACTTTTGCAACACTGCAACTATAAGAACATAAGTACCTGATGTAATAAAATATAATGAGTTCATGATACATGCCTTGGAACACGTGAATAATTGTACTACTTCATGTATTATCTGCTAGACTGTATACTGGTCAGAAAGTGGTATAATGTCTTATGCAAATGATGATGCAGTTAGGGGAATACCTAGTCAGTTGCACAACTGAATGCATTCAACTGAAGTGTGTCTTCCACATTTAACCCAACCCTTCTGAATGAGAGAGGTGCGGGGGCTGCTGCCTTAATGACATCATCGGCGCACCGGGAGCAGTTGTTGTTGGGGGTTAACTGCCTTGCTCAAGGGCAGAACAGTAGATGTTTCCACCTTGGCTCAGTGACCTTTCCGTTACTGGCCCAACGCTCTTAACCGCTAGGCTACCTGCTGCTCCATCAATTACAGAGGGTTGCTGGCATCAAAATCTCAGCTGCGAACTACTGCCGTTGTGTCCTTGAGCAAGGCACTTATTAATCCTTATGTTATGTATGTCTTTAAATACTGACAGATACGTCAGCTTTCTCCAAGATTTTCTGGAGACAGCGGAGAAGCACTTCATGGTCGGCTTCAACGTGCGCTACTATGTTTTCACTGATCGTCCACACGATGTTCCTTCAGTGAACCTAACTCAGGGGATACATTTGAGTGTGATCAAGGTCCCAGGTTCAAACCGCTGGCAGGAGATATCAGCCCGGAGGATGGAGATCATCCAGACCACCATCGAACGTCAGATCAGCAGGGAGGCCGACTACATCTTCTATCTGGACGTGGACAGCAAGTTCCACGCTTGTTGGGGGGCCGAGTCTCTTGGAAGGCTGGTTGCTGTGATACACCCAGGCTACTATGAGCAGACCCGTGACCGCTTCCCATACGAACGGCGTCCAGCCTCGACGGCCTACATCCCCATGGATGAGGGTGACTACTACTATGGCGGGGCTATGATCGGAGGGTTCGTGGAGGATGTGTACACACTAACAAAGGTATGTCGGAACCGGTTTGAGGAGGATGCGGGGAATTCCATCGAGGCAGCCTGGCAGGAGGAGAGCCACCTCAACAGGTATCTGCTCTACAACAAGCCCAGCAAGGTGTTGTCTCCAGAGTACCTGTGGCAGGACTTCAAGGCCAAAACCAAAGAGGTCAAAGTCATTCGCTTCTCAGGGGTCATTAAAAACTATGCTGAAATTCGTCCCAATGTATAAAACTAGGAAGTGGATATTCGACCGGCAGAAGAAAAACTGAATTTAGTCATAGCGCTAAAAATTAATTGAGGTTAAGGTTAGGTTTAGGAACGAGGGTTAGGTTAAGTTTAGATATTGTTTGACTGAGGTTAATGTTTGGGTTAAGGTTAGGGAAAGGCATGATAATAATAATTTGGGGGTGCTTATATTTGTCTCCTGTGGGTGTTTCTTGTACAAATGTGTAATGGAAATGTGTTTCTTGCATATCCCAACTCCTCCTGAGACACCCGCAGGGAGTGGGGTCATGGCCAGGGTCACCATTGTTCATTTTTAACTTATAGGAACATTTTTTTCATTTTCTATCTTATATTTCATTCTGTATTCTGTAGCCTATTTATTTTGCTTGTTGATTACTGGGGTGGGGGGGGGGGGGGGTAAATACATATGTCAAAAGATATAACACAATAGTATTAGTATTATTATAATAATAATTATTGTATGTTCATTTCTTGAAAAAAATATTTTACCACTTTCCATAATGTGTATGTTGTCAGTACTTCTTATTTATCTAAGGTCCAAGGTAATGTTTTGATTTAGAGCTTTACACATTTGTGGGATTCATACTAAAATGTGAAATGTGCTACCATACCCTCTGGTGGACGGTTATGGTGCATGAAATACTGCGAAATGAAATGAAACGTGTTGCATAGCCTAACTAAAAACAACAACTTTAGCGAACTAATCATCTGGCAACCACAGCAGGGTACCAGCAGAAGGGGAATGATTCATATTTGACAGATGTAGGACATTGCAACATGAGTCACACTTATCAGAACAGTTTCCTTTTTAAAAGGCAAAATGGAGGATGCACTTCATTGTGTAAAAACATCGTGCCAATGTCAGGGCAAAGGGGTAAATCCTTCATTACAATGAGCCCATAGAAAACTGGATGGGGGAAAGGGTTTCAGAATAGCCTGCACAATCACATTGTATTGGGTTACATGTACTGTCCTGAAAGCAAACAGAACTGAAACCAGGTGTGTATCTGCCATATTTGACCAAAAGCAGACAGTTCTGTACTTTTAACCAGGTGAATGAGGAGAGATGACGTAGCCAACAGACGAGTTCATCATTACATGTAATAATAATATTGAGGGAGCCAGCCTAGCACTCAAGCATTTCACTGCACCTTTTATACATTCTGTACACTGTGTGTGAGACAAATAACATTTTATTTGATTTAATTTTATTTAATCTCCCAATGTATTAGATTTATATTTTAAAGCACATAGTTGAGAACGGCATTCAAGCGATTTACAATTTATTAATTCTAAGCATCCATATATTATCTTGTCTAGCACTAAATGCTACAGTATATGTCCCCATACATGAATTTTAAATACCTCATGAAGCTGGTTGCGAGAATGCCAAGAGTGTGCAAAGCTGTCATCAAGGCAAAGGGTGGCGACTTTGAAGAATCTCAAATATAACATATATTTTGATTTGTTTAACACTTTTTGGTTATTACATGATTCCATGTGTGTTATTTCATAGTTTTGATGTCTTCACTATTATTCTACAATGTAGAAAATAGTAAAAATAAAGAAAAACCCTGGAATGAGTACGTGTATCCAAACTTTTGACTGGTACTGTATGTCCCCATACATGAATTTTAAGCGTCCATCCTCTCTAAAACTGTTTTCCTCACAACAGCACATAAGGGGGAAGCCTGCCCCCTGCTGGCCTGTTGACATCACTTCAAGCAGATCCGAACATTTCTTTGTTCATGGGGTTGTCTCAATCAGATTACACTCTTACTGAAATATGATAGGCGAAGTTCTTAGAGAATAGCGAGTATTGTAGATTATAATGCAGCGTTAGACCGTTTTTATTTTTTGGCCATATTGCCAATAAAATATCCAGTTGGTATGAATCGTATTCATAGTAAGGTTTAGTTTATTGTCAAGGTGTACAACATTGGCAGTTAAACGCTGAATTCCATTGTACAGTTCATTGAAATAAATAAACAAATAATTACATAAACAAATCAATAATGTGAAATCATGAGATATATTCAAAAAATATATAAAAGTTATTTTCAAAACCATATGAGAACATGGCTACAAATGGGAATTCACGACAATTGAGCTAACCATCTAAAAAGGTGACGTGTTATGTTCTACCTTCTGGGATAGATGACGAAATGAAGTGGTACGTAAAAACAGTTGTTTTCGAAAGTGAAAGTGATTTATGATTTGTATTCACAGATGTCATCATCCCCGGCGACAGAGGCTGTCCCACTTTCATGGCTGGAAGGGTTCCTAATTGTTTTGCATTTTAGCTAACCCTAACCCTTTCCCTAAACTTAACCTAATTCTCCTAACTTGCTACGTTAATAATGACATTGTATCTAGCTGTTAATAAGAAATCAGGTCCACAAGAAGTTGTTTGAATTACCTTTTTATATGCCAATGTCAATTTGTTTTACAACGAAATAATGAAATGCCATGTAGGCTACAAGTAGTACATTTCGATAACTGCTGGAGCAGCTGTGTTGAGTCCAACTATTATCATCATCATGTTATCCTTTCTGTAACAGAGTAGCCATATAATTAGTTACACTTTCCATCCCATGGGAGAGGGTATATAAAAAGTTAACCTTTAAATGCTTATACTGTAGGCTAACATGCCTACTTAATAAAAGTCCAATTGAACTACAAAAAAATACATAGGCTACTGTATTAAAAATACATTGCGTGAAGAGCACTGTGTACCTGCCATTATATTATTCTCTGTTTTGATTATGTATTGGCTCAAATAAGTATTTACATAGCCTATCATTTGAGCAACATTCTTGCACACACCTGCACACAGAAGACAAGAACGCAAAATTTCGTCAACAGCTATGCAAGGTGAAGGAATGGCATTTTCAATGCTCTTTCAGTTTCCCCGCTTGAAATGTCATTTTTTAAATATCCTTAGGGAATTACATTATCGTATCTGAAGATTATGCCTTTGTTAAATGTTTTTCATGACGAAATGGAATGTTGGTTGTTCAGGCCAAAGGGGGGAGGTTTTATGATGTTATTTGAAATGTGCCGCTTGGAGGGTGACGCCCGAGGGGAGACTGGTGATTGGCCAGAAGAAGGGAGTAGCCCCTCCCTTTGCATTGTTTATAAATAGGGGGTAAACGATTAGACGGCAGAACGACCATAACAATCTGGGAGGCGTTCTCTAGGCAACGCGTGTCTGTGAATTTATGCTGTAACCTCGTGGTATGAATAAAAACTTCTGACACGATGCAGCATAACGGACTTTTTGTTCATCAGCAATATTACCACCATTCATCATATACGACAACATATTACCTCATCCATGGCATTTCAATGAGGGAGACTATAAAGGTAGGTCACGTAAACCACCGTTAAGAAGTAGCGTTCAGGGATTTATAAACTGACTAGGCACATGGCAACTCTTAACGTTTCCTTTGTGGTACATCTTCTGTGTATAATTGTTCTTAAGCCGGTTGTGTATGCTAAATACAGTGACCGAAAAGAGCAAAATGTATTATCTTTCTCAAACTCGCCAGACCATCAATGATATTGCCATGGTAGGTCAATTTCTTTAACCTGTTACAAATTGACCATATAGACAGAGACATATAACAAATATGGCTCTGAATATAGGCTATAGCATCTATACTGTTAGATGACAAGTTAAAGTGCATTCGGGAAAGTATTCATATCCCTTGACTATTCCACATTTTGTTATGTTACAGCCTTATTCTAAAATTGATTAAATTGTTTTTTTTTCCACTCGTCAATCTACACACCGTACCCCACAATGACAAAGCAAAAATATGTGAAATATCACATTTACATAAGTATTCAGACCCTTTACTCAGTACTTTGTTGAAGCACCTTTGGCAGTGATTACAGCCTCTAGTCTTCTTGGGTATGACGCTACAAGCTTGGCACACCTGTATTTGGGGAGTTTCTACCATTCTTCTCTGCAGAACCTCTCAAGCTCTGTCAGGTTGGATGGGGAGCATCGGTACACAGCTATTTTCAGGTCTCTCTAGAGATGTTAGATCGGGTTCAAGTCCGGGCTCTGGCTGGGCCACTCAAGGACATTCAGAAACTTATCCCTAAGCCACTCCTGCATTGTCTTGGCTGTGTGCTTTAGGACGTTGTCCTGTTGGAAGGTGAACCTTCACCCCAGTCTGAGGTCCTGAGCTCTCTGGAGCAGGTTTTCATCAAGGATCTCTCTGTACTTTGCTCCGTTCACCTTTCCCTCGATGTTGCTGCCACCACCATGCTTCACCGTAGGGATGGTGGCATGTTTTTACCAGACGTGACGCTTGGCATTCAGGCCAAAGAGTTCCAGAGAATCTTTTTTCTCATGGTCTGAGAGTCTTTTAGGTGCCTTTTTGCAATCTCCAAGCAGGCAGTCATGTGTCTTTTACTGAGGAGTGGCTTCCGTCTGGCCACTACCATAAAGGCCTGATTGGTGGAGTGCTGCAAAGATGGTTGTCCTTCTGGAAGGTTCTCTCATCTCCACAGAGGAACTGTTGATCTCTTTCAGAGTGACCATCAGGTTCTTGGTCAACTCCCTGACCAAGGCCCTTCTCCCCAGCTCTAGGAAGAGTCTTGGTGGTTCCAAACTTTTTCCATTTAAGAATGGTGGCCGCTTTGTTCTTGTGGACCTTCAATGCTGCAGAAATGTTTTGGTACCCTTCTCCAGATCTGTGCTTCGACAAATTTCTGTTTCGGAGCTCTACGGACAATACCTTTGACCTCATGGCTTGGTTTTTGCTCTGATAAGCACTCTCAACTGTGGGACTTTATATAGACAGGTGTGTGACTTTCCAAATCATGTCCAATCAATTGATTTTACCTCAGGTCGTTTCCAATCAAGTTGTAGAAGCATCTCAAGGATGATTCATGGAAACAGGATGCTCCTGAGCTCAATTTCGAGTCTCATAGCAAAGGCTCTGAATGCTTATGTAAATAAGGTATCTGTTTTTTATTTTTAAAACATTTGCAAAAGTTTTAATGGTAGGTTTATTTGAACAGTGAGAGACAGAATAACAACAAAAAAATCCAGAAAAACGCAT